TAGACCAAGTTGGATGACCAAGCATCTCAGAGAGGTGATTAAAAAAAAGCAGAAAGCCTACAAGGAGTGGAAGATGGGAGGGATCAGCAAGGAAAGCTACCTTACCGAGGTCAGAACATGTAGGGATAAAGTGAGAAAGGTCAAACGCCACGTAGAGCTGGACTTTGCAAAGGGAATTAAAAGCTATAGTAAAAGGTTCTATAGCCATATAAATGAGAAGACAACAAAGAAAAAAGAAGTGGGGATGCTAAACACTGAGGATGGAGTGGAGGATAAGGATAATCTAGGCATGGCCCAATATCTAAACAAAATACTTTAATGAGGCTAATGAGGAGCTCAGGGATAATGGTAGGACGACAAATGGGAATGAGCATACGGAGGATATGGGAATCGGTAGATATTACCACATCCGAGGTAGAAGCCAAACTCAAACAGCTTAATGAGACTAAATCGGGGGCCTCAGATAATCTTCATCCAAGAATATTAAAGGAACTGGCACATGAAATTGCAAGCCCATTAGCAAGAATTTTAATCAATCAATCTGTAAACTCAGAGGTTGAACCGTATGACTGGAGAACTGCTAACATAATTCCTATTTTTAAGAAAGGGGAAAAAAGTGATCCGGGTAACTACAGGCCTGTTAGTCTGACATCTGTAGTGAGCAAGGTCTTGGAAAAAATTTTGAAGGAGAAAGTAATTAAGTTTCAGAGTAGCCAGCCATGTTAGTCTGTATTTGCAAAAAGAAAAGGAGTACTTGTGGCACCTTAGAGACTAACCAATTTATTTGAGCATAAGCTTTCATGAGCTACAGCTCACTTCATCGGATGCATAAAGTGGAAAGTACAGTGAGGAGATTTTATATACACAGAAACCATGAAAAAATATACATTGTATGGAGAGCGATCACTTAAGATGAGGTATTACCAGCGGGACAGTGGGGTGGGGGGAGAGAAAACCTTTTGAAGTGATAATCAAGGTGGGCCATTTCCAGCACATTTCCAGGAGTTAACAAGAACGTCTGAGGGGGGGGGGAATAAACAAGGGGAAATAGTTTCACTTAGTATAATGACTCAACCACTCCCAGTCTCTATTCAAACTTAAGTTAATTGTATCCAATTTGCAAATTAATTCCAATTCAGCAGTCTCTCGTAGTTAAGGACATTGAGGTCAAATGTAATTGGGACAAAATACAACATGGCTTTATAAAAGGTAGATTGTGTCAAACCAACCTGATCTCCTTCTTTGAGAAGGTAACAGATTTTTTGGACAAAGGAAACGCAGTGGATCTAATTTACCTCAATTTCAGTAAGGCATTTGATACGGTTCCACATGAGGAATTAACAGCTAAACTAGAAAAGATGGGGATCAATATGAAAATTGAAAGGTGGATAAGGAACTGGTTAAAGGGGAGACTACAGCGGGTCACAATGAAAGGTGAACTGTCAGGCTGGAAGGAGGTTACTAGTGGATCCTCAAAGATCAGTTTTGGGACCAATCTTATTTAATCTTTTTATTACTGACCTTGGCACAAAAAGCGGGAACGTGCTAATAAAGTTTACAGATGACACAAAGCTGGGAGGCATTGCCAATACAGAGAAGGACCAGGATATCATACAGGAGGATCTGGATGACCTTGTAAACTTGAGTAATAGTAATAGGATGAAATTTAATAGTGAAAAGTGCAAGGTCATGCATTTAGGGATTAATAACAAGAATTTCTGTTATAAATTGGGGACACATCACTTGGAAGTAACAGAGGAGGAGAAGGACCTCGGAGTATTGGTTGACCACAGGATGACTATGAGCCACCAATGTGATATGGCCGGGAAAAAAGCTAACACGGTCTTGGGATCCATCAGGCGAGGTATTTCCAGTAGAGATAAGGAGGTGTTAGTACCGTTATACAAGGCACTGGTGAGACCTCATCTGGAATACTGTGTGCAGTTCTGGTCTCCCATGTTTAAGAAAGATGAATTCAAACTGGAACAGGTCCAGAGCAGGGCTACTAGAACAATCCGTGGAATGGAAAACCCGTCTTATGAAAGGAGACTCAAAGACCTTGGCTTGTTTAGCCTAACCAAAAGAAGGCTGAGAGGAGATATGATTGCTCTCTATAAATATATCAGAGGGATAAATACCAGGGAGGGAGAAGTATTATTTAAGCTCAGTATCAATGTGGACACAAGAACGAATGGATATAAACTGGCCATCAGAAAGTTTAGACTTGAAATTAGACGAAGGTTTCTAACCATCAGAGGAGTGAAGTTCTGGAACAGCCTTCCAAGGGAAGTAGTGAGGGCAAAAGACATACCTGGCTTCAACACTAAACTTGGTAAGTTTATGGAGGAAATGATATGATGGGATAGCCTAATTTTGGCAATTAATTGATCTTCAACTATTAGCGGTAGATATGCCCAATGGCCTGTGATGGGATGTTAGATGGGGTGGGATCTGAGTTAGTACAGAGAATTCTTTCCTGGGTGTCTGGCTGGTGAGTCTTGCCCACATGCTCAGGGTTTAGCTGATCGCCATATTTGGAGTCGGGAAAGAATTTTCCTCCAGGGCAGATTGGCAGAGGCCCTGGGGGTTTTTTGCCTTCCTCTGCAGCGTGGGGCACAGGTCACCTGCCGGAGGATTCTCTGCACCTTGAAGTCTTTAAACCATGATTTGAGGACTTCAATAGCTCAGACATATGTTATGGGTTTGTTACCGGAGTTGGTGGGTGAGATTCTGTGGTCTGTGTTGTACAGGAGGTCAGACTAGATGATCATAATGGTCCCTTCTGACCTTAAAATCTATGATTCTATGCTCACCAATAAAGCTATTTACCACTTAGATTCAGTGCTGATCTGCACCTTAAAAAGATAAGAATTATAGAGGATGTTCTGTCTCTGCATCATGTATTTACACAGGATGGACCATGTTTTAGAGGGAATCCCCAGATGTACCTATCTTCCCTGTGACATTCTATATCTTGAGGGAGTGTCCTGGAACCCCCATATTCCCCATTTGTATATAATCATGATCTTACCTATAAAGCATGCCTTGTAAGGTATCAGGGGAAAGGTTATGATCTGCTGAAAGTCATTACTCTATCCTTATATGTATATCATTAACACACATGAAGTTATGAGAATTGTGTTGTATGGTTCTCACTAAAACGGGGGTGGGCAAACTATCTGGCCCGCCAGCCGATTTAATCTGGCCCTTGAGTCCCCACTTCAGCCAGTGGGTGGGGTCGGGGGGGGGGGCGGTCGCTTGGCACGTGCATGCCACCACTCCACACGACTCCCACAAGCAGCGGCATGTCCCCCGTCTGGTTCCTATATTTACGGGCAGCCAGGGGGCTCTGCGTACTGCCCTCGCCCCAAGCACCGCTCTCGCAGCTTCCACTAGCCAGGAACTGCAGATTTCCAGGAGCAGCTTGAGGTAAGTGCTGCCCGGAGCTTGAACCCCTGAGCCCACCCCCAACCCCAGCCCTGATCCCCCTCCTGCCCTCCAAACCCCTCAATCCCAGCCTGGAGCACCCTCCTGAACTGCACACCCCTCATCCCCAACCCCATCCCAGAGCCTGGACCCCCAGCTGGAGCCCTCACCCCCTCCTGCACCCCAATCCCAATTTTGTAAGCATTCATGGCCCGCCATAAAATTTCCATACCCAGATGTAGCCCTCAGGTCAAAAAGTTTGCCCATCCCTGAACTAAAACATGCTGTAAGTTTGGGAATCAGCCAGATATTAGCTCCCCAGAGGCAACCACAAGGAAAGTAACCAACACCCTGGTGGAGTATCAATCAACCCATCAACCACCATTGTCCAGCAAGGGAGCTACAATGCAATGGCTCACCTGCATAAGGCCACACCAGGGGAATTGCTCAACCTTGCCTGGAGACTCAGCAACGGCTGGTGTATATCCACTTTCCATTGATGAAGCGGTGAAGCAATTAATAAATCTGCATTACTCATCTTGAGCAGTGCAAGATGGTATATTCCTGAGATACAATGCTGGGAGGATTTGGCTCTGGTGCCTTTCTCTGTGTGATTCATGAGTGGCTCTGGGAGCATTCATGCAATCTAGCTAGGTGTGAGGTTCCACATGCTGTTATGCTGAGTGATAACAGCACCTGGATGGGTTTTCTGCTGGTCACTAGCAAGGCATTGTGAGAGACAGCCCAGGCTGGAGAGAGTTCAGAGGGGCACAGTGGTCCCACAGGCCCGGTTACATTCCCAAAATGGTGCAAAGTTTAATTCACGAGGGGTTCACTTTTACAAAAGGATTTTAAACAGACATTGTCAACATAACACATTTGAAAAAGAAAAGTCCTTATCTACATTATTAACGCCAGGTGTAATTATTCAAAGAGGTTTTTTTAAGTACGATTTACATTTCATCCTGCCTGGACAGAGTCTAAAATGGTCAGTTTACTTTCTGGTTCTCACAGACGAGCACAGGGTTTGCACTGAGGCTAGACTTGCTGCAGAGAAATTTTGACGTTTTATTTTCATTAGAGGCCTAATCTACTATTTAGTTAGTTTAAATCCCAAGGGAGATATAATTGATAATTGATTATAATTGATAATATAATTATTATTTATGATCATATGGTTTATATTAGGAGTCTCGTTTCAATAATTATTGAATGATGTACTTTTCATGAAACAAATATAAAACACTTTTCATGGACATTTAAAAAAAATCAGGAAAATATTTTTATTCATACTAAGGTTTGCAAAAGGTTTTAAAAAAAATTAGGACAAAAATAGCTGGTTCAGGGTCTCCTTTATTGAAATGACTGCTACTTACTCATCTTCCTTTTGGGAGAATCACGAGGGAGCTAACTGCATGCTCTCTACATCAGGATATGGAGATCACAGCAGTGTTAGATTTCAATCATATCATGTTCCTGATGTCACACCTCTGCAGAACCGATACTCAGTCCTGTATACTTGTTTCTCGGTAGGCATACATTAGTGTACTTATAATTTCAGGATTGGCACTTACGAGACAGTCTCTGGTATATCATCTACTTTTTTGAAACGGCCTGCCCACAGCAGAACCTTCTTTTCCCAGTCTGACGGCTTGTGTCCTGGCACTTTGAAGGTGGAATGCCCTATAGCAAATATGGAAGAGAAGACACAATATACAGAATAATCATAGCTTAAGGAAACTGTCAGGGTGAGTAACACAAATCTGCAGGCATGAGCTCTGCTGTAACTGAAGAGGGAGCAGAAATATCACATGAGCGCTCCTAGAGAAGCTGTAAGGGCATGTGGAACTGAACCAAGCTTAAGGTGACAGAACTTTACCCAGGGCCCCATGTACTCCACAATTCTGAAGGCACAGAATGTGCCTCAGAACCCACAGCTTTCACAGAATCATTCCCCAGAATCAAAGTATTAATTTAAAAAAAAAAATATTGTAGGGCTGGTTCTCCACTGCCTTGTAGCTTTTATCATAATTTACACCTGTAGAAAGTGTGTATTAGCTATGTTACAATAGGATAGTATTTCCTAAACCGCTGAGCATGAATCAAAGAAGATTAGGGTTCGAAGAGACCTCAGGAGGTCAACTAGTCCAACCCCTCTGCTCAAAGCAGGGCCAACCCCAACTAAATCATCCCAGACAGGGCTTTGTCAAGTTGGGCCTTAAAAAACTTTAATGATGGAGATTCCACCACCTCCCTACGTAACCCATTCCAGTGCTTCACCACCCTCCTAGTGAAATAGTTTTTCCTATTATTCAACCTAGACATCCCCCACTACAACCTGAGACCATTGCTCAGTGGTGTCATCTGCCACCACTGAGAACAGCCTAGCTCCATCCTCTTTGGAACCCCCTTTCAGGTAGTTGAAGGCTGCTGTCAAATCCCCCCTCACTCTTCTCTTCTGGCAGACTAAATTAGCCCAGTTCCCTCAGCCTCTCCTCATAAGTCATGTGCCCCAGCCTCCTAATAGTTTTCGTTGCCCTCTGCTGGACTCTCTCCAATTTGTTCACATCCCTTCTGTAGTGGGGGGGTGGGGGTGGGGCAAAACTGGGACACAATACTCCAGATGTGGCCTCACCAGTGCCGAATAGAAGGGAATAATCACTTCCCTCGATCTGCTGGCAATGCTCCTACTAATGCAGCCCACTATGCCATTAGCCTTTTTGGCAACAAGGGCACATGATTGACTCATGTCCAGCTTCTTGTCCGCTATAATCCCGAAGTTCATTTCTGCAGAACTGCTGCTTAGCCAGTCAGTCCCCAGCCTGTAACAGTGCATGGAATTCTTCTGTCCTAAGTGCAGGACTCTACACTTGCCCTTGTTGAACCTCATCAGATTTCTTTTAGCCCAATACTCCAATCTGTCTAGGTCACTCTGGACCTATCCCTACCCTCCAGCGTATCTACCTCTCCCCACAGCTTAGTGTCATCTGCAAACTTGCTGAGGGTGCAATCCATCCCATCATCTGGATCTTTAATAAAGTTGTTGAACAAAACCAGCCCAAGGACAGACCCCTGGGGCACTCCGCTTGATACCAGCTGCCAACTAGGCATCGAGCCATTGATCACTACCTGTTGAGCCCGACGATCTAGCCAGTAGAAATGACCACCTTATAGTCCATTCACCCAATCCATACTTTTTTAACTTGCTGGCAAGAATACTGTGGGAGACCGTATCAAAAGCTTTGCTAAAGTCAAGATATATCATGTTCACCGCTTTCCCCATATTCACAGAGCCAGTTATCTCATCATAGAAGGCAATCACGTTGGTCAGGCATGACTTGCCCTTGGTGAATCCATGTTGAAGGACTAGCTCCAGAGATTCAACTTTCATTAAAATAAAAGTAAGTCTCCAGTTGCTATGGTTGAGAAGAAAACCTTTTAAAATGTGATTCAAATGTAGCCACTGAAGAAAAGTCAGCCTCAGTTTGTAGAGAACCTCAGACGTGAACTGCTTTACTCGTTTTAATGGGTGCTCACATGCCAATGACAACAATTTAGAAGCCAACATTTGGTTAACTATTTCACTGTTTTTCCAAACATGTAAGGAGAGGAAGTATGTTCTGAACGGCCTACCAATGTTTTCAATTTAGCAACATATGGTGGGAGTGAAGAGGATGAGATTGGTTATGTTCTCCTGAAGGTAGGCTCAGCTTTCAAGAGTCTGAGAAATACTGCACTACTGTAACATACCGGCTAAGTGTCATGTACTACCATTCTAACCTGGTAGCATTTCACATCTACTTTGCACAGCTAGAAATTACTACAAAAGAATGTGAAAAAGTAGAGAATAGGGTCTTAGGTTTCTAGCCCTCACATTTGTGAGGACAACCTTGGAAACATGAACCAGGAATAACTAATGCATTTTGTCATCCTTTGTCAGCAAGCAGCCACAAAATATTACCTAAGACCTGTGAGCTGCCCACGTTTATCTCAATGACTTGCTAATTATGAAACCTAAATATAAACTATTTTATCACCAACAATGTCACTGCTAATCATTGTAACAAGAACAGTAGAGGGATGGAAACATACCACAGCTACGAACTACCCAAGGTGGATTAACAATTTTTTAAATGATTATTTAAATTGGATTTTTTAAAATGTAAATTAAATAAAGTTTATAAAAAAGTAAACCTATTTAAAATTGAAATTGGCAACTTATGTTAGATTTAAGGTTTAAACTTATTATAATCTATTACAATTATTTGAAGTAGCTACCAAAACATTAAGCAGTACATGTTTGCTGCCAAAGTTTTAAAGTCAGCCCATTGAACTAGTGTGGAACTCAATGCCTAAGCAGCGGGAAACAGTTTGTTGAAGTGCTAAACCAGCTTTTGAGAGCAGTAACCTCTTCTGCAGGAGCAGTGAGAATATCTTCATTTCACTCAACTAGTTCAGTTCAATGATTAGTTCATTCAAAGGCAAGAAACAAGTTGAGAGATGAAAAAGCAGGAAAGCTCGTTTTTCCTCTTCCAATCTGTGAATAAAAACTAGGTGTGAGGATGAAATCTACTAGTTCTAAAATCTCAAAGGACATGGTGACCAGAAACAAATTAGTTCAATACTAACTATAGATAAAATTATCTACCTATCTAAACTATTTAATAGATATACTGAACATTTAAGTAAAAAAACCAAAACAAAAAACAAAAAAAAGCATTCCGTGTCCTGGAAACCTAAGAAAAAAAAGTTTAAGGTAGTCTTTTAGTTATTAAATAAAAAGGTAGAATGCTGTTTTGTGCATTTTAACTGAATCTGAAATTCCATCCAAACAGAGCTTGACACAGAATCACAAATAAAAATTAACCTAATAAACAAGAAATGTAACATTAAAAAAAAAGTTAAAATTAAGAATTAAACAGAAGTTAAGCTAATTGCTTAAATAAATGTGAACAGATCTAGTGTAGCCTCCTGACTAACAAAAAGAAGCACCAAATGTAATGCAAAGAGTAGATCTGGTTGCAAATCAGCATGTTGTAATGGTTACCAACCAATAAGAATCAACATTTCATTAGGGAAATAACTAAAAAATGTTAATGCAAAACATGATTAAAATTTATTATTTCAATCAGGTTTTCTGCTTGGTGATTTAAATCATGATTAAAATTGGTGATTTAAATTGCTTTGATCTAAATCAATCCATCCTGAAACTCACTCTCTCTCTCGTCTTAGGAGGATATTTAATATTGATATCAGCAGCTATACTGATTATTTTTGTATTTAATTAAAATCCTCATTTTAAAAATGTTAAATGAAACTGCTACAGAATTTCCTGTCTGCGTCACAGTTTGCGATGGAGCATAAGCCTTTATCTTACCTGGCAATATAAAGAGCTCTTCTTAAGAGTACTGTAGGTCTCAGGACCATATGCCAAACCAGTGAAGTTGACAAGAACTTTGTCATTGACTTCAATGGGCACAGGATCAGACCCTCAATGCCTCTCTTCCAAACTCATTCTCCCGGTCCATACACAAGCAAAAGGGGGCAATTTATGCTTTGTTTTCAACACAAATGTGGCTAATGCCTCATATTTAAGAATGCTTTTTCACTACGGCTGTCAATTAATCGCAGGTAATTCACGCGATTAAAAAAAAATTAATCGTGATTAATCGCGCTGCTAAACAATAGAATACCAATTGAAATGTATTAAATATTTTGGATATTTTTCTACATTTTCAAATATATTGATTTCTGATACAACATAAAATACAAAGTGTACAGTGCACATTTTTATTACAAATATTTGCACTGTAAAAATGATATAGTATTTTTCAATTCACCTCATATAAATATTGTGGTGCAATCTCTTTATCGTGAAAGTGCAACTTAGAAATGTAGGTTTATTTTTTGTTACATAACTGCACTCCAAAACAAAACTAAGTCCACTCAGTCCTACTTCTTGTTCAGCCAATTGCTAAGACAAACAAGTTTGTTTACTTTTACAGGACATAATGCTGCCTGCCTCTTACTGTGTCACCTGAAAGTGAGAACAGGCATTTGCATGGCACTTTTGTAGCTGGCATTGCAAGGTATTTACGTGCCAGATATGCTAAACATTCGTATGCACCTTCATGCTTCGGCCACCATTCCAGAGGACATGCTTCCATGCTGATGACACACGTTTAAAAAAAAAAAAAGTGTTAATTAAATTTGTGATTGAATTCGCTGGTGGAGAATGGTATGTCTCCTGCTCTGTTTTACCTGCATTCTGCCATATATTTCATGTTATAGCACTCTCGGATGATGACCCAGCATATGTTGTTCGTTTTAAGAACGCTTTCACTGCAGATTTGACAAAACGCAAAGAAGATACCAATGTGAGATTTCTAAAGATAGCTACAGCACTTGACCGAAGGTTTAACAATCTGAAGTGCCTTCCAAAATTTGAGAGGGACGAGGTGTGGAGCATGCTTTCAGAAGTCTTAAAAGAGCAACAGTCTGATGCAGAAACGACAGAACTGAACCATCAAAAGAAAAAATTAACCTTCTGCTGGTGGCATCTGACTCAGATCATGAAAATGAACATGTGTTAGTCCTCACTGTTTTGGTTCGTTATCGAACAGAACCCGTCATTGGCATGGATGCATGTCCTCTGGAAGGGTGGTTGAAGCATGAAGGGACATATGAATTTTTAGTGCATCTGGCACATAAATATCTTGTGACACCGGCTACAACAGTGGCATGCAAACACCTATTATCACTTTCAGGTGACATTGTAAACAAGAAGTCAGCAGCAAATGTAAACAAACTTGTTCATCTGAGCGATTGGCTGAACAAGAAGTAGGACTGAATGGACTTGTAGGCTCTAAAGTTTTACATTGTTTTATTTTTGAGTGCAGTTATTTTTTGTACATAATTCTACATTTGTAAGTTCAACTTTCATGATAAAGAGATTGCACTACAGTACTTCTATAAAGTGAATTGGAAAATACTATTTCTTTTGTTTTTTACTGTGCAAATATCTGTAATAAAAACTATATAAAGTGAGCACTGTACACTTTGTATTCTGTGTAGTAATTAAAATAAATATATTAGAAAATGTAGAAAACATCCAAAGATATTTAAATAAATGGTATTGTATTAACAGTGCGATTAATCACACAATTAATTTTTTTAATCACTTGACAGGCCTACTTTTTACCCATTGGCACCGACAGTCAAACCAAGGTCTGTTACACAGAGGGTCCAGTATAGATTATCACTGTTCACTCTAATCTTAAAGATAAAATCGAATACCAGACCTATCACTGACTTGAAAGGAAAAGGAATCCCATCTTAAAGGATGAACTAGGTCAGTGGCAAACTCAAAATGATCCTGCAGTGCAGAGGCAGCATACTTCTAGTGGATCACTGCCCTGCTGTGGGAAGGGCTCTGCTAAGGAATTCTCAACACTATCACAACACTCACAAATATAAAAACAGACTGATTGTGGGAAGGAAGTGATTAGTTACAGAATGCAACTGGGAGATTCTGAATGCATAAACTATCAAACAAGAACTCCTCTTAACCTACTAAGAAAAGAAGGCTGTCCCTAAAAAGAAAAAGTTTTCCTTTGATTAGTAATACAGATAGTCTTGGATTTGACATCTAAGTTTAAAGTTCTGTCTTTTGAGTGAGAGAGAAAACTTAAGTCCTTTTCAAAAGAGCAGAGCCTTGTATTTGACTAAATTCTTACTCAGGACATTCTGGCTACCTAAATACCTAAAGTTTTCATTGTGCGAGAAATATTTCACTTTCTGAACCAACTTGTTGGCTGACATTGCTACGAGCTTTTGAACTACCATGTTCCTTCCCAGAGATAGCTGCATTTCAGCGTGATAATGACCCCTATGTATAGTCCGTACACTTGGTTGACACAAACCATATTGTGAAGAGTATCCTTTAGAATGAATGTACTATATATACGTAAGACGTTTGATCTATGTTCTTGATTTAATGATTATTTAGCAGTTCTTTACACTTGTTCCTCAGCCTGGTAGCTACTCTAATAGTAACACTGATACCTTTGAATCTCAGAGCAAAAAGCTTACCCCCTACTTCAGGCTTTTGTTTGCTCCCCTCCTGTGATTTACTGCAAAAACCTCTCTTGATCTTCAGATCCATTCCTTTAGTTGGTCTCAGAATTGAGGGAACATTCCTTTCCAGCATCTTAGTAGCTCTGCCTAGAAATCAGAAGAAAGGGGCGGTAATGGGCTGAACAGAATCCAAAAGGTAACTCAAAAATTTTCAAAGCAATCCGAGTAACCATGCAGATTTTAGAGTACTTAGAAGAGTTGAGCTTTAAACAGAAAGCTGTTCTAAACTAATTACAGTAGACCTGGTTATCCATTACATTGAGATAGATTTTTTTTAAATATATGAACACATATGCAAGCACGTGTTTATACGAGGAAATTAGAAAAAAATAAAAATCTAATGCGTAAGGTGGGACAGACCTCCGGAGTTATAACAGAGACTGACAGAAAAAAAAGTTTGATATCTCAACACTTCACCTGATCTTGACCATACTCTTACATAAAACTGCAGCATGGAAGCACTTTCCTAAACACTGACCCTGTAGGTATCATGATTACATGCCATTAGTGCTTTCAGATGCCTCACTTTCAATCCAGGCAATGCCACTTAAAGGAAGTGCACCAGGTTTTCACCAGGCTTGTCATACTCCAAAACTAAGGGTATGTCTACACTACGGAATTAGGTCAAATTTATAGAAGTCCATTTTTTAGGAAGTGATTTTATACAGTCGATTGTGTGTCCCCCCACTAAGCGCATTAAGTCGGCGGGGTGCGTCCACAGTACCATGGCTAGCGTCGACTTTTGGAGGGTTGCACTGTGGGTAGCTATCCCACAGTTCCCGCAGTCTCCGCCGCCCATTGAAATTCTGGGTTAAGCTCCCAATGCCTGATGGGGCAAAAACATTGTCGCGGGTGGTTTTGGGTACATGTCGTCAGTCTCCCCTCCCTCCGTGAAAGCAACGGCAGACAATCGTTTCACGCCTTTTCTCCGTGCGGATGCCATACTGCTTTCAGCAGACGGTGCAGTAGGACTGCTAACCGTCATCATCGAACCACTGCTTCCGCTACAACTCTGCTCTCCTGCTCTTGTCTCACCATACCACAGCAAGCGTGCAGCCCGCTCAGCTCACCGACACCACTGCTGTTGTGTCCTGGTGCTGCTGGCAGCAGACGGTGCACTAGGCCTGCAAAACTGGTCATCCAACCACCACTTCCTCTCCAACTCTGCTCTCCTACTCGAGTCTCGATAGCGAATTTCTCCATGTTGGCTGTCATGGGCTCCCACTTCCCTGCAACTCTGCTCTCCTGAATCCACCTCACAGGTCCTCTCGTTGTTCTCTATAAATATCTATTCTCGTGGCATCCGTCGTCAGCCACCGCTTCCGCTGCAACTCTGCTCTCCTGCAGACGCCATACCACAGCAAGCATGGAGCTCGCTCAGATCACCACGGCAGTTATGAGCACTGTAAACATCTCGCGCATTATCCTGCAGTATGTTCAGAACCAGAACCTGCAAGGGCAGGCGAGGAGGCGACAGCAGCGGAGTGATAAGAGTGATGAGGATATGGACACAGACTTCTCTCAAAGTACGGGCCCCGACAATTGGACATCCTGGTGGCAATGGGGCAGGCTCATGCCATGGAACGCTGATTCTGGGCCCAGGAGACAAGCACAGACTGGTGGGACCACATAATGTTGCAGGTCTGGGATGATTCCCAATGGCTGCGAAACTTTCGCATGCGTAAGGGCACTTTCATAGAACTTTGTGACTTGCTTTCCCCTGCCCTGAGGTGCAAGAATACCAAGATGAGAGCAGCCCCCACAGTTCACAAGTGAGTGGCGATAGCCCTCTGGAAGCTTGCAACGCCAGACAGCTACCCGTCAGTCGGCAATCAATTTGGAGTGGGCAAATCTACTGTGGGGGCTGCTGTGATCCAAGTAGCCAATGCAATCACTATCAAGGATAGTGACTCTGGGAAATCTGCAGGTCATAGTGGATGGCTTTGCTGCAATGGGATCCCTAACTGTGGTGGGCGATAAATGGAACCCATATTCCTATCTTGGGACCGGACCACCTTGGCAGCCAGTACATAAACCACAAGGGGTACTTTTCAATGGTGCTGCAAGCACTGGTGGATCACAAGGGATGTTTCACCAAGATCAACGTGGGATGGCCAGGAAAGGTACATGACGCTCGCATCTTCAGGAACTCTGGTCTGTCTGGACAGCTGCAGCAAGGGACTTACTTTCCAGACCAGAAAATAACCATTGGGGAAGTTGAAATGCCTATAGTTATCCTTGGGGACCCAGCCTACCCCTTAATGCCATGGTTCATGAAGCCATACAGAGACACCCTGGACAGTAGTCAGCAGCTGTTCAACTATAGGCTGAGCAAGTGCAGAATGGTGGTAGAATACACATTTGGACGTTTAAAAGTGCGCTGGCAAAGTTTACTGACTTGGTTAGACCTCAGCGAAACCAATATTCCCATTGTTATTACTGCTTGCTGTGTGCTCAACAATATCCGTGAGAGTAAGGGGAAGACGTTTATGGCAGGGTGGGAGGTTGAGGCAAATCACCTCGCTGCTGACTATGCACAGCCAGACACCAGGGCGATAAGAAGAGCACAGCTGGGTGCGCTGCGCATCAGAGAAACTTTGAAAACTGGCCAGGCTATGGTGTGACAGTTCTGTTTGTTTCTCCTCGATCAAAACCCGCCCCCTTGCTTCACTCTACTTCCCTGTAAGCCAACTGACCTCCCCCCTTCGATCACCGCTTGCAAAGGCAATAATTGTTGTTTCAAATTCATGCATTATTAATTTGTCACACAAATAGGGGGATAACTGCCAAGGTAGCCTGGGAGGGGTGGGGGAGGAAGGAAGCACCGGGTGGGGTGGTGGAGGAGGGAAGGACAAGGCCACACTGCACTTCAAAACTTATTGAATGCCAGCCTTCTGTTGCTTGGGCAGTCCTCTGGGGTGAAGTGCTTGGGTGCCCGGAGGGCTTCCCGCCCCCGCATTCTTGGGGGTCTGGGAGAGGAGGCTATGGAACTTGTGGGAGGAGGGCAGGTGGTTACATAGGGGCTGCAGCTGCGGTCTGTGCTCCTGCTGCCTTTCTTGCAGCTCAGCCATATGCCACAGCATATTAGTTTGATTCTCCAGTAGGCTCAGCATTGCATCCTACTTCCTCTCATCACGCTGCCGCCACCTCTCCTCTTGCTCCCGCCTCCTGTCCTCACGTTCATTTTGTGCTTTCCTGGACTCTGACATTGCTTGCCTCCACGCATTTTGCTGAGCTCTTTCAATGTGGGAGGACTGCATGAGCTCAGAGAGCATTTCATCACGAGTGCGTTTTTTTTCGCCTTATCTGTGCTAGTCTCTGGGACGGAGATGATAGGGGGAGTGTTCAAACATTTGAGCTGCATACAGTTCTAGGGGTGCTCCTACCACTGTCCCACCCCTGTACGTGTACTCCTGCAAGGGGGGAGTCTCATGCAACAGGGATGACGATTCAGGGAACGAGGAAGATGAGGAGGAGGGTGAAACTGTTCTCCCGGACAGCCAAGAACTGTTTATCACCCTGGATCCAATACCCTCCCAACCCTCCCAAGGCAGGCTCCCAGACCTTGAAGGCGGAGAAGGCACCTCTGGTGAGTGTACCTTTGTAAATATAATACATGGTTTAAAAGCAGTGTGTTTAATGATTAATTTACCCTGAAGACTTGGGATGCATTCGCAGCCAGTACAGCTACTGGAAAAGTCTGTTAACATGTCTGGGGATGGAGCGGAAATCCTCCAGGCAATGAAGCTCTTCTGGGGGTACTCCCAAAGCCTTTGCAAAAGGTTTCTGGGGAGGGCAGCCTTATTCCGTCCTCCATGTAGGACACTTTACCACACCAGGCCAGTAGCACATAGTCTGGAATCATTTCATAACAAAGTATGGCAGCATATGGTCCCGGTGTTTGCTTGCATTCAAGCAACATCTGTTCTTTATCTCTCTGTGTTATCCTCGGGAGAGTGATATTTTTCATGGTCACCTGGTTGAAATAGGGGTATTTAATTAAGGGGACATTCAGAGCTGGCCATTCCTGCTGGGCTGTTTGCCTGTGGCTGAAAAGAAATCCTCCTCGCTGTTAGCCACACAGTGGGGGGAGGGGTGAAGCGATCATCCCAGAGAATTGTGTGTGTGTGTGTGTGCGCGTGTGGGGAGGGTGTTAAGCTGGGTTTGTGCTGCACGTTAACCCAAAAACCGCAGCCCCTCCTTTTAAATGGTCAACCCATTTTAAATGGCCAACCCAATGGGTGCTTGGTATGGGAAATGAGGGCGCTGCTGTTTGAAAACATTCCCACATGTTATGAAGGTTAAAGAAGCCAAAAGACAGTGGCTTACCATGGCTGCCTGCAAGCTGAATTCTGTTGCCTGGCCCTGCGTGTGTGATCTCTCACACCAAACCGGCAGCCCTCAATATAAGAGGCAAAATGCGACCTTGTACCGAAACCACATGTACTATGTAATGTTAACAGCTTGGTTCACCGCGAAAGAGTCTACCCATTGTTCTCTAAAATGTGTCTTTTTAAATACTTCTCTCCCTTTTTTTCCTCCCGCAGCTGCAAATGTTTGAACACTCCCCCATCATCTCCCTCCCAGAGGCTAGCACAGATAAGAAGGCGAAAAAAACACATTCGCCATGAAATGTTCTCTGAGCTCATGCAGTCCTCCCGCATTGCGGCTGTTTGCCTCTTTGGTAGGCTTGCCTGAGCTCCTTAATTTTCACACGGCACTGCTGCAGGTCCCTGTTATAGTCTCTGTCCTTCATGCCCTTGAAGATTTTTTAAAATATTTTGGCATTTCGTCTTCTGACCCAGCGATGTCCATTGCAGCACTAATCCCCTCGTCGGGGAGGAGTATAAAAACTGATTTTAAGAGACCTTTAAGTCAACAAAAATGGCTTCGTTGTGTGGACGGATGCAGAGTTAAAACGATCTAACACTGCTAAATTCGACCTAAACTCGTAGTTTAGACCAGGGCCAAGTCAGAAACTTGAGGCAGAGGTAGCAATAGCAAAGCAGAAGTTTACAGTATTGAGACAGCTGCCTTATTGTGTAACAGAAGAAAATTCACATCTACAAAAAATAGGAACTATTTTGGGGAAATTCTATGGCCTGCGCTATACAGAAGGTCAGAGCAGATTATCACAATGGTTCCTTCCAGCCTTAGAATCTATAAACTGTTAGAAAAGTTATAATGAGGAAAATTCAGGCACTAAAAATCCTTTGCAAGGGCACCTTTAAAAAAAAAAGTTAGGCTTAGTCCCTTTTTACTCCTTATGCTGGATTAGCAAATAGGGTTTTTTCCCCAGTTTTTTTTTATTTTAAACGTTAGAATTACCTGGAATGTTAAATCTAAACTTCCCTGGTTTTGCTGTAAGATCTCTGGGAGGACTCGGGAGTGTTTACTGTGACTCCTTAAGTAAAAGGGTAAGGGTGCTGATTCTTTAAAAAAGGCTTTGTTGACCCAAAATGTTAGTCACTAAAAAGTTAAACAAGTGTTAAGGGGGAGGAAGAGGAAACCAAACCCCCTCCAAAAATTTAAGTGTAACCACCAAAAAATATAAGGCAGCATAACTTTCATTCTCTTGGCTCTTGTGATGTCTTGGCTCTTTCACTAGTCCTCTAGACATAACCCCTTCCAGCCATGACAGAACCTGAACATCTAAATGTTAAAAACAAGCAGAAAAAACCCGCTAAACTTCAAAAGTTTTGGGTTTTTTTTTTTTTTTAAAGTCTTCATAAAGAAGCAAAAAAGGACATAAGTTCCAGGCACATTGGCCTTAAAGGACTTGCAAAGAAGCAATGGGTTTTAGCTCACATTGCTGTACTCTAGGAGATAGGACATGCCACCCTGTTCAATGTTGCCAAGCCTCACAGTATTTGGTATTTTTCTTAAAACCCCAACATGTGGAGTCAAGTGATTACATGAAATATCAGCTTTCACATAAAAAAAGTAAATTTTTAGCCCTGGTGGTTACAGAGAGCTTGAAAATTATGACCCAAGTATACCATGAAGGTTCAAAAACTAGAAAGCAAATAAGAAACCAAAATGTATTTTCATCTCATGATTTTAAGTAAATCTCATTATTTCTGAGGGTTAATTCTTAATTTATTGAATGCTTTGGTTTGACAATATTGCTTTTGAACAAAGCAGAAATGAAAGCTGCAGTAACATTAACTCTCTACCTTTTGATCTTTAAAGTCTGCAATCACAGAGTTAAATTTGTGTATTGTTGTTCGGAAACTTTAGCGAAGGTCCTATAGATAAAAGCTTCATACACTGGGGAGGAAGAATAGTCTTGTGGTTAAGGCACTGGACTAGGACTTAGATGTGAGAATATGACTGGGTGCAAAACCCATTTCAGTTTAAGCCTGATGCCATGGATTTGCCAGCAACTGAAACTGAACAGCTCATTGAAATTTCCTGTGATCAAACTTATGCCCAACTTTCTCCCCCCTAGTTCCGGTTCACTGCCAAGAATGAATATCCTGCACTCTCAACATGAAGCAACATGCACCTTGATACTGACAGTGCCATTTGCCCGCACAAATTTGTGTGAAGCTGAATTCAGCACACTTCTGTCCATCAAGTTTTGGTATCAATCTACCATTGGTGTCACATCGGAGATTAGATGTGCAATTTCTATCACATGGCTGGACTTCAAGAAGCTATGTCGTAATATGCGAGTGCTTGTGTCACATTAGAGGACACTAAACATACTTAATGTGTTAATTTGTTGGTAACTAAGTTGTTTTGTTGCTGCCTGGGGTCACAGGAAACAGTAGGGCAGGTCTGTGCCAGGAAATTAGGTCAGTATAATTACCTTGCTCATGGGTGTGAAAAATCCGCATCTGAGTGACACAGTTAAACCTACCTAACCCTTAACGTAGACAGCACTAGGTTAACGGGAGGATTCTCCTGTGGACCTAGCTGCCCTCTCTCAGGCAGGTGAAATACCTACACCTACAGGTGAAACCTTCCTATCTTTAAATGTAGCATCTTCCCTGCAGGGATGCAACTGTGCTGCTGCAGTGTTTTAAGTATAGGCAACCCCATTTTGCAACTAAGGGCTTATGCAGCCAAAAAGTTAGGGACCCCAATCTATGCCACAAATCAAGAGAATAATAAGCTGTTAGTAGGATGATCTTTTGTTGCAGTCATCAAAAGAGGAGGATTGGTGAAAAAGAGGAATAGATTTTTACCTCTGAAGAATGCAGGTCACATTTTCACTTCCAGTCCTTTTCATTAACCACACTGAGATTTTAAATGTTACACTGAAGCACACACTACAAAATACTTCATCACTAGCAGGGAAATTTTAAAGATTACTATTAATTAATTCCAGGGTTTCACCACTTCCCATGACTGAGATTTAGAGCAGGTCTAACATTATCTGACACTTTGGAAGTGGCTAGGGACAATGGGCCAGGGAGTCAGAATCTGGGGTAGGGCAGGGAGGGGGAGGAAGTGGTGCAACATTTGCTAGACAAAAAGAAAAGGAGTACTTGTGGCACCTTAGAGACTAACCAATTTATTTGAGCATAAGCTTTCGTGAGCTACAGCTCACTTCATCGGAGGCATGCATCCGATGAAGTGAGCTGTAGCTCACGAAAGCTTATGCTCAAATAAATTGGTTAGTCTCTAAGGTGCCACAAGTATTCCTTTTCTTTTTGCTAGACTATGCATCAAGGAAACAAATTAAGGAAGAGAGGTGAAACCCCATGGAATGAAGCTAGATAGAGAAGATGAAAGGGACGCTACTTGTCTCCACCACTCTCTGATCTGAAGTAGACCTGGCAAAGTTGGCTTTTCAGACCCTACTTCAAGGGAGCCTCCGTCCTGACTAGAACATGGGCCCATGAAGTCTGAACGCCTGAACCTGAGTTTGACAGGCGCAGTGAAGCAATGAAGACTGGAACTAAAGGAGCAATCTGCGGTCTTGAACCCGGCTTTCCCCGCACGCCCAAGAGCCACGCGCTGGTCCCACCGCTTGCGGAGGCCCCCGCGCCGCACGTGCCGCTCCCCCACGCCACCCCACGGCTCACCACCGGATCAGCTTGCTGCCCCCCCCCGCCTTCGCCCCCCCACGACACCCACCAGGTGGCGGCGCCCCTGCCCGAGGCCAGGCTCCCGCCCCATCGCTCCCGAGGTCCCCGCCGTCACTCACCGGCGGCGGCGGCCCACATGGTGCTGGCCCCGGGCGCGTCCAACCTCCGTCCCCGCGGGGTCGAGTCTCTCGGACGGTGCCAGGCTGGGGCGGAGCCCCTTCCACGTCACTACCCAGCCGCGACTCCGAGCGACGGGGCGCGAGAAGGGTCAGCCCGCGCCGAGTCCCTCCCTGGCCGCTCTGCGGCTCTGCGCCCGCTCAGCGAGCATGCGCCGTAGCAGCCCTGGCGCGGCCCTCCCCCGTGCGGGGCGGAGTCTGAGCTGGGGCACGGTGGGAGCGCAGGGGAGTCAAGCCGCTGGAGGCGGAGGCCGGACAGGGGCCAAATCGGGTGCAGGGAGAAGGAGTAGTGTTGCCCACTGCCTCACCACACCTACCCAAATACCCTGCCCCGCCCCTTCCCCTAGGCCCCGCCCCACTCGCTCCATGGCCCCGCCTTCTGTCACTTGCTGTCCCTCCCCCACCCTCACTCACTTTCACTAGGTTGGGGGGGGTGCAGGCCCTGGGAGGGAGTTTGGGGTGTGGGCTCTGGCCAGGAAGCGTTTACCTCCGGCGGCTCCCGGGCAGCGGCGCAGCAGGGCTAAGTCAGACTCCCTGCCTGCCCTGGCCCCACACTGCTCCCAGAAGCAGCCGGCATGTCCCTGCTGCCCCGGGGGGCAGGAAGATGACTCCGTGCGCTGCCTGTGCCCACAAGCAGCGCCCCCGCAGCTCCCATTGGCCTCAGTTCCCAGCCAATGGGAGCTGTGGAGTCAGCACTCGGGGCGGGGGCAGTGCGCTGAGACGCCCCTGACCCTGTCCCAGGGGCCGCAGGGACATGCTGGGGGCTTCTGGGAGTGGCGCAGGGCCAGGGCAGGTAGGGAGCCTGACTTAGCTCTGCTGCATCACTGGACTTATAGCAATCTAAAATCTCCCAGTCTGGCTTCAGTGGCCTCCAGGAGATAGGGCCTGATTCTGTGAGACTTTTGGCGAACCCCGGGAGGGTTGGCAACCCTAGGAAGGAGCTGGAAGAGAGGCGGCGGTAGTGGCAGAGGGGATAAAACTTTCCACAGGTGGGGTGAACCATTGTCAGGGGAGCTGAGAGCCGTTGAACCAAACTGTAAACCCTGTATATGATGATGGTACAATGTGTTGGGTCACAGAGACCCCCTTGGTACTGTTATCTGATGTGCTGAAACTACCTCTGAGCCTGTTTTCTCTGTCAGCTTGGGACTCCAGAACCCTGCCTTTTTCAGCCAGACACGCCAGTCTGCTGCAACACAGACCCAGGTCTGGTCCACGCCCCACAAAGCTGCAGACTAAACAAAAATACTCAGCAAGTACTCCTGTCTCCAACACACAGACACCCAGTTCCCAATGGGATCCAAACCCTAAATAAATCCATTTTACTCTGTGTAAAGTTTATACAAGGTAAACTCATAAATTGTCAGCCCTCTATAACACTGATAGAGAAATATGCACAGCTGTTTCCTCCCCCAGGTATTAATCACTTACTCTGGGTTTACTAATAAACAAAAGTGATTTTATTACATATAAAAGTAGGATTTAAGTGGTTTTAAGTAATAACAGAACAAAGTAAGTTACCAAGCAAAATAAAACAAAACATGCAAGCCTAAGCCTAATACATTTAAGAAACTGAATACAGGTAAATCTCACCCTCAGAGATATTCCAATAAGCTTCTTTCACAGACTAGACTCCTGCTTAGTCTGGGCCCAAACTTTTCCCCTGGTACAGTTCTTGTTAGTTCCAGCTCAGGTGGTAACTCGGGGATTTTTCATGACTGGCAGCCCTCTTTGTTGTGTTCCACCCCCTTTTTATAGCTTTGGCACAAGGGAGGAATCTTTTGTCTCTCTGGGTCCCCAAACCTCTTTCTAAATGGAAAAGCACCAGGTATAAGGTGGATTCCAGTTCAGGTGACATGATCACATGTCCTGTGAGATCCCAGGCCTCCATTCTTTCCAGCCTGACTCACAAGAACACAGGAAGGCTGACAAGTAAACAGAGCCATTTACAACCAATTGTCCTAGTTAATGGGAGCCATCAAGATTCCAAGCCACCATTAATGGCCCACACTTTGCATAGTTACAGTAGGACTTCAAAGTTATACTTCATATTTCTAGCTTCAGATACAAGAACGATACATTCATAAAAATGGGATGAACACACTCAGTAGATTAGAAGCTTTGTAATGATACCTTACAAGAGACCTTTTGCATAAAGCATATTCCAGTTACATTATATTTACACTCATAAGCATATTTCCTTAAAAAATATGGAGTGCAACATCACAGGTGGGAACCACTTCAAGCCAGGGGTGCAGTAGCACCCCTAGTTTCAGCCCTTTGGCTGTAGGTACTGGTTACAGAAACAGTGTGCAGGTGGCAGAGGGGCTTTGATTTCCCCCCTCTCAGGAGGGTAGATCTCAGCATCTGCTTCCCAGGGCTGGGTTTGTAAATGCACCATGTCCTGGTTTGCTTCTCTATCTGAAATGAGAGATTGTGCTGGTAATAGAGATGGAATTTGGTGAGATATTTTACATGCACCTCCTACAAAAGTATATAATTGCCATAAGTGGTTTTTGCATCTGCGGACCATTTTTTGGATAGTGGATTGGATGCGTATACAACTGCGCAGGTCTCCTGGTGGCACCTGTCCCATGGCATCTGGCTCAGGCAGCCCGGGGGAGGGGCGGGGCATACAGTGCACTCAGGACTTGCGGCCAGCAGCAAGTGGCTGGGGCTGGGGTGGAGGCCAGGGTTGGGGCTGTCTAGCACCGGCTCACTGTGCTGCTTCCTATCCAGCGGCTCAGGCAGTGCCTGCATCCCCTCCATGGCCCAGCCCGGCAGCACCAGCTGCACTCCCAGCCCGCTGGCTCCTGGGCAGCAGGGCCCGCCCCCAGTCACTGGGATTGTAATGGGCGTGGCTCCAGCACCCCACCCCTCTGCCCAGCTGTTATGCACATGCTGCTGCCATCGCTTGCAAGTCCCCGGGAGCAGCATGCGATGTGCTGTGCCTTTCCCCCACCCCATGCTGCCCCTTCTCCTTGAGACTCCAGTCCTTCCTCCCAGTCCCCTTGCTGCCCCTTCTGCTTGAGATCCTGCTCCCCGCTCACTCATCTCTGCTTCCCCACCCACCCTGCTAGCCTTGTAAGCCTTGTAAGAAGGCTTGCTGCTGTGGGTGCAGATACAGGTAAAAGACGGCTAGCGGATCGTCGGTCGGATCACAGGTTGGTTCTGTCGGATGTGGATCCACATTTTTGTATCCATGCAGGGCTCTAGTTTTAGAGTTTAAAAGACTCCCTCTCAGTGTATATATCAGCATGAAGACACCTAGTTCACAAATTTAGCTTACTTGCTCTTCTGATTGCCTGAATTGGACTGCCTTGTTCTTGTAATGCACTGAAAATACAATTTCATGCCTTTAAATTATTTACTTTTTAAAATGTTATTTTTATTACTGTTAGCACTTCATCATTTACCTTCGCTGACATTGTGCAGAGAGATGAAAAGAAAATGGAATAAACATTTGGAATTAAAAACTGTATGTTACAAAATCACAGTAAAAATAGGTTATACTAAAAACAATGAGATGTGACTGCTGAAGCTTGTAACAGCTATTTCTATTTTAGTAGCAGATAAATATTGAAAATATTAATGGTTGCTAGTAGCTTCAGCAATCACATCTCACAATGTTTCTAGTATAAAACTTCCTGTTCTTATTGCAATTTTGTAATTTACATTTAATTTTTTTTTATAATACAAGATTGGTTCTTTTGGATCATATGATTTCAAGGCTAACTGATTTCCTGGGTTGGTGTCAAAACTTCTTCAGTTTCCTTTGATCTGCCAATGGGATTTCCTTTGTCAAGTGTTATTTTGCCTTTCTGTGCACCATGCTAGTGCTTTTTCATGTTGCCACTTGTGTATAGAACTTGATTCTCAAATATTCACTAAAGGCCACATTTTTAAAGGTTGAAAGCACCTAGATGATTTTGAAAATCCCACTAGTGACCTAAATACCTTTAGCAATCTGATCCTAAAGAGCCTTTCTTGTATGAAATAGTTTTCAAAGGTAAACTTCTACTGTAATATTTACTAATGATAGATGTACAACCCCAAGATAGATTGACCACCACTAGAATTCAAAAATGATGAATCATGTACCTGAATGTCATTAAATTAAAATACTAAATAAATACAATCTTGTTTTGTTTTATTTGTCTTTTTGTTTGAGCCTTTAGGATGCACTAGCTCCATACTTCTGCTGTTACCTTTTTCCATATACCTAAAATGGTTGTACATTCCTGTAACATTTAATACCATTTTAAACTTCAAGTAACAAGATTCCCTCCCTTTTTAATTTACATTTTATTTAAAATCCTTATTTCTGTAATCCGCCATCCTGCAAACGCTGAAGCACACAGTTTATTTTTCTCAAAAAGAAAAGGAGTACTTGTGGCACCTTAGAGACTAACCAATTTATTTGAGCATGAGCTTTCGTGAGCTACAGCTCACTTCATCAGACGTATACCGTGGAAACTGCAGCAGACTTTATATACACACAGAGAATTCTCTGTGTGTATATAAAGTCTGCTGCAGTTTCCACGGTATACGTCTGATGAAGTGAGCTGTAGCTCACGAAAGCTCATGCTCAAATAAATTGGTTAGTCTCTAAGGTGCCACAAGTACTCCTTTTCTTTTTGCGAATACAGACTAACACGGCTGTTCCTCTGAAACCAGTTTATTTTTCTGTTACTTCAATGGTTAGATACATAGTTCTTGTTTTTTATCTACTGAATTGTTTATATTTCTAATTGCATATTTTAATTTTATAGCCTTTTATGTGTGATACATGTTGTGATATAATACAGTTAAGTGATGTTCTTCATTCTGATAAGTTTACTGTTTTGTACAGCCAAAATCAAAGTTTTTTTAAAACGAATTATTCTGTTGCTCCTTTCACTGGTCGGGGCGGGGAGGGAGAGGGATGGCCATAATGCTTGTTATGATACAGACATTCAGGCCTGCCTGTAAAGGCCTATACTTTAAGAATGTAGGTATATGTTTATCATTTAGCTAGTAATAGAGGTATACAAGAAAAAATCTGTGTAAGGGCCTTCTCTCACTGTGACAGTCTGAGGCCCTGTTCTTAGGGCAATGCCTTTGGCTAAGCAGCAGAGGGAGCCATAAGCTGGGAAGCGAGACAAGAGGAAGGTCACATCCTCACATTCCAAACTAGTCAATATGGGGCTGTTAGGAAGGTGATCCGATCTATCACCTCCAGAGAAAGGGAAGAGCCTAGAAGATGTAAAAGGAAATTTAGGTTGATAGTTTTCTGTCTGGTAAGAACTCACTTATCAATAGACACAGCTGGGAAACCCTTATGTCTTTATAGATGTAGTGGTGAAATCCTCACTTCTGTATTGTTTTGTCATTATAGTTCCCACTTTGCTATTGTTTATTTGCATGGTCTCTGTCTGGTTCTGTGATTGTTTCTGTCTGCTGTATAATTAATTTTGCTGGGTGTAAACTAATTAAGGTGGTGGGATATAATTGGTTAGCTAATCATGTTACAACATGTTAGGATTGGTTAGTTAAATTTCAGTAGAATGAGTGGTTAAGGTATAGCTAAGAATATTACTATATAAATTAGGGGCAAACAGGAAGTAAGTTGGGATTCGAAAATAAGGAAAAAGGAACTTGAATTTAAGCTTGCTGGCAGTTCACCCCAATACACATCCAATTGTTTGCATCTTCCGACTTCGGGTATTGTTGCTCTCTGTTCATGCAAGACAGACCAGGGAAGTGGGAGAGTGAAG